GTACCCACAAGAAAGGGAACAATGGACAAGTTTAATGGAATCAACTGCTTGAGTGATCAATGGGGTAAATGCATTTTGGGACTTTAGTTAAGGACCATATTCAAATTAATGTCTGGCTCTGCATATCCCAGCCATTAGTTGATGAATTCAAAAAACACAAACACACACAGAGAGGGAACAAATGCCAGAGGGCACTAACCTAGCCGAGCCGAAATGTAATACAAGAACTGGGTGCAGCCGTTGTCGTCGACCGAATTCGAAGCCGAACCCAAACTCAAACGAGTATCAGGACTCAGGGTCAGGAATCAGCTGCTGATATAATAATGCAAACGTGGACAGCTGTCGGAAAATTGCTGAAAATCGAATGAAAAGCCGCGCGCGCATTCAGCTCCGACGCTTGTCTCGCCCTTTGGCTGCTTTTCCTTTTCCTTTTTTTTACAGACGAGCATCAATGGCAATCGCACCACCAAATCCAGTTCCTGTTCATGTTGTTGTTGTTGTTTATGTAGATCGTCAAATGATGTCCCGTCCCGTCGTCGCTTCGGGTTCATAGGGCGAGTCTCGGCCAGGCTACCGTAAATATATTTCAGAGTGTTTCTTCTACCTGGTCCTGGACCCATCCCGACCACATATCGAGAAGGTCTTTGAACTCATCTCATCTAACGATTTGTGGGCTTCGCCGGCAACAGCTGCCGTCTAAATAACCCGAGTCCCAATTTTCAGCTCCGAGCGAGAGATTTCGCAATGCTCAAACAAATGTAATTAAAAATACAAAGTTTCAAATTACTTGAATGAAACGTGGAACGTGTGTCCAGCTCAAGAATCCGTACAAGTGAGCTCAACTTGTTTGTATCCTGTTGCAGGACATGCTAATAAGTGTCGGCCCCCAACGAAAGGAGTGAAGCGCAATTTGGCGATGACGTAAACAGACTTCTTTTCTGTTGATATACCCGTCGAAGTTGGAAAAAAAAGGTGGATTGTTTTTCGGGCAAATGCATGAAACCAAAAAGAAATATAGCTAAATTAAGAAAAAATTATAAAAATATTTTAAAAAAATGTAAATAATTTCCCATTTGCTTAAAAAATCGAAGCTATAATTTACCCAATTAAATATTACAATAAATTAAGAAAATTATATATATTCTTGATCAGAAAGAAGAACCGATTCGATTCAGCTTCAATTTCGAAAACTACAAAGGCTAGCGACATGGAATTTGAAATTTATATTCATCTATTCCATATGAAACATGAATTTATTCGTGCTCATGGTGATTGAGAAACATAAGGCATAGCTCGAAAGTTATAAGAGCTGGAGACATTAAAACTGGTTAGTAGGTTCTTCTATGGTAAAAATTAAGCTTAAAAAATTAAAAAAAATATTTGTTTGTTGTTGTTATGTTTTGTATGCCACATTTAAGCACTTAAAGATTCATAGAGATGGGACTTAAGTCAACTAAGTTGGTCTAGAGTATATTTTCTAAGGTCTGGGTCTATGAGTTATATCTAAAAAGAAGCTAAAATGATTGTAATGATATATTGAGGCTGGCTTCGAGGTATTTTTTGAGCATTTTCCAATGGGTGGGTCGATGGATTATATCTAGAAAAGAGCTTAAATATTTCTATCTTCTAGCATTTTTAAAGGTGTGGGTTATATATTCTATGGCTTATTCATAGAAGGGAGCTAAATATGTGCAATAACGACTTGAAGCCGGCTGCGAGGTATCTTTTAGTCGGACATTTATGACTAGAGCACATTTACTTGTTGTTGTAGATGTTGTTGTGGATGTTGTTGTAGTTGTTGTAGCTGTTGTTTTTATTGCTAATGAAACAGGCATACGAAATTTTGTCGTTGTTGTTGCTGTTGCTGTTTTACCTGTTTGCTGTTTCTATGTAGACCCAAATGGCAAACGGTGAGATGGGGTTGATTGCTGGGTGGTGGTGTTGCTGATGTTGTTGTTGTTGCTGCTGTTGCTGCTGTTGCTGATGGCGATGATGATGATGTTGTTGACGATAATAACGATGATGGGGTGGTTCAAGTAACAATGAAATTATAGCAGCAACACAGGAACAAATAGCATTTGGGAAAAACTCAACGGCGCCCGGTCTGCCAGCCATTCGGTCCGCCCGCCAGTCCGCCAGTTGGTCCGCCCAGCTAGACAGACAATACGTACAGAGCCGAGAAGAAGCAGAGTGCAACTCGTGCTTGTTTCCACTTTAATACATCATTGAAGGGAAAAAGCAGAAAGAGCATGCCAGACACCTGGCACATTTGGCCTCTCGCTCTTTCCCTCTTGCTCTCGCTCGCGTTGTGTCTGGCATTTGGGCCCTGAGCAGGCTGTGGCAGGGGCAGGATCAACAGTTTTTGGGCTGGTTGTGTTTCTGTTTCTATTTCTGTTACAGCTGCCACTTCCTGGCCCGTGCCACGCGAGCGTCACACTTCGCTCGATACGGCTAAAAGAGTGCGGCAGGGAGCGGGGGGAGAGGGCGCCACTGCGGGCGTTCTGTTTCGCTGGGCAACGCCAAAAGCGTTTGGCAAGCTGACAATTTCAGGCGCAACCAACCACCCACCCAGCCAGCCAGCTAGACTGGGGTCCTCGGGCAGCTGCACTTGTAGAGCATTTCCTGTTTTTTGCACGCTCGCAAACGCGCTCAACTGGATCCCTGCCGCGGTTGGAAATACTAGCACCTTTGTTTTTACCCTTAAACTAACGCTAATAACGCCGCGATACAGGAACCATATTGTCCTGTCCTTGTTCCAGCTGAACGAATCTCGCCTTTGCTCCGGCTGCATAATTTGGTTTCCTGTCGTGACGCGTGGATCCTACCCCGTCGGAGTCCCTGCCCGAGAAGCCATATGGCTGGTATGGTGCTCGCCTCAATACAGCTGCGCGTGCCTCTCAACGATCACGATCATATTTTCATTTTCATTTTTATTCACAACGTACAGAAGCCACCCCCTAAAGCGGCTAGCGAAGCGCAACAAGCTCGCCTTTAGCTGGAAAAGCAGATTACAATTTGGAGAGCGAAGTTTGTGTGCCATGTGTGGTTGCCACCAGGAGACCATGGGTCGCATATTTAGGGCTTCCATAGCCAGAGGTGCCCAATTGTAATTAGTGCAGCCAAATTCCACAGATGGTCGGTACGTTACATTTCAAGGAATATTTGTTTAAGCTAAGAGGTCTCTAAGGTCTCACAGCTAGATGGATTGTCCGTACAATGAATAGCATGTCTTGGTGCCTCAGACTCAAGAGGCCATATAATAGGGGTATAAGCTGCGATATGTTGTTCATGTTCCCAGTCAAGTGATCCCCCATTTTCAAACTATCAGGAGTTTTGACTTCCAAAGAAAAAACCGTGCCCATATTAAAACAAAGATAATGGAATAAATCATATTTTTGCCAGCTAAGCTCATGCGACGTGACAGTTGGCCAAAGTAAAAAAATAAAAGTTTTTCTTGACTTTTATCTGCACTTTATGTCCTAATTAATTATATGACTTAAGCTGAGTGTTAGAGAGCCTCAGCGGCTTTTATATGCCCTTATATCATAAGAAATATATTTATTAAAATATATTCCCAGAGTTAAATATTAATTTTTTAGATTAATTCTACTAACGCTTTGATAGCGAGACCAGGTTCAATTTTTTAATTAAATTTTGAACTTAAGCTGAATAAAATCGTATATTTCCAACGCGTCCTGACCTTTGATATACAAAAAACCTACGCCCAAGAAATGAATTGCCAGCGAGTAACCACCCCACCCCCTCTCCCTCCTCTACCGACAGTCCACCTCCCCTTCACCCTTCACCCACCACCCAGCAACCTTCTGCTCCCATCGCCACCTACTTGCAATCAACAATGCCGCAATCCAACGACTGTTGCTTAAAACTCCACCCCTTTAGCACACACACCCCCTCCTCCCACTAGCCACCCCCACCCACCCCCTTCACTCGTCATTTTTGGCAATTTGTTCAAAATCAAAGTTCAGCAACAAATGCAATGCAACAGCAAGAGCAATTAACTCGGCACAACTGCCACATTCGACGGAGACGGCGACGCTGTTGCAGAAATCCACCCCAAAATGTTCAATAACAAAAAGGAGCCATGAGCCAATTCAGGTACGAGCCAAGAGCAGAGCGGGAGAGGGAGGGACGCAACAATTGGAGGAAAACGTCAATGGCAAAACGAGCGGCAATGGAACGCTTCCTGATTGTTGGGCTCCTTAATGCCGCTACACACCATCATACAAGATTAGTCTTTTAAATCAATATTGGTATGAAACCAAAGAGTATTAAGAGTATACTTAAACAATTAAATATTATAATACAAATTTTTCCCATTTTTTTAAGTAAATCATTACTATAATATATACAATTAAATATTATAATAAATTTAAAAAGAAATTATAATCATAACATTAATAAAAATAATTTCACCCTTGCATAAACAAATCATAACTAATGCTTAAAAAAATAAATTTTAAAATAAATAAAAAAAAATAACAAATATATATTTTAAAAAGGTAACTATTTTTCCCTTTGCTAAACAAATAATACTATATATAAAAAAATAATAATAACTATAACTATTTAAAAATACAAAAGTGTTAAACAAAAATCAAAGCTATAGCTTTACCCATTTTAATTATAAGTTATAAAGAAACTAGAAAAAAAAATATATTTAAAAAATTTAAATAATTTCCCTCTTTGTCTAAAAAAAATTATAGCTATATATTTAATAATATAATAAATTAAAAACAATTTATAAAAATATATGTTAAAAATGTATACACTTCCCCTTTTAGACGTGTGCAGCTGCCCTAAAGACACGCAACAGCTACTCTGTTATATTTGGGGGTAGTTTAGGTGCTGTGTTTTCAGTACTATTACGTTCCATTCCATTCGGTTCCATTCCGTTTCGTTTCGTTGCGTTTCGGCTCACTCTTCCTTTCCATTTCATTCGGCAACCCTTATAAGCGACGTTTCGTTCAGTTGTATTCTCATAAGCATTCAAGAGTTGCTTACGTTCGGTTCGTTCGCATTTCTTCTCTATCTTATATAATATTATATTTTCTCCTAAATCAATTTTTTCACTACCAACAACAATAATTAAAACTCAACTTTTCAACAAAACTCGTGTCAACTAACCTAACTTTTACAACTCTAACGTCTCTACTTTCTGTTTTATAAAACAAAATAAAAAAAAAAAGCAAAAACAAATACCAAAGCTTATTTAAGTCGACAACAACAATATTTCATTTGAACTTGTTTACCAAAAATCACAATAATAAAAAATATACAAAAACAACAATAATTATTATTATTATAACAATAACAACAACAACAAGCCAAAAGGATATATGGAGCAATACAATTACCAAACCCGATCCCCTCGCAGTTGACCGAACCGCTTTATTTGAAGCCCTCCCCCCGCTCATTGTGTAAAAACAAACGTAAACGTAAACGCAAATGTAAAAATCGATAAACCACACGCAGCCAACGCAAACGCAGCAAAACGTGTCCCTGTCCAGAGAGACCCAAAAAAAAAAAAAAAAAAACACCAAAAAAAAAACAAAAAGCAAAAGACCCCAAACTCGAGCCAAAGTTGACCAAAAAAGTTGACTACGGCTCCTCGACCAGGAGAGAGCATGAGTAAAGCGCAGAAATGTGTAAAGTGGCTGTGAAATTTGAAGTATCCTAACCAAAACCGAAAACCAAAAACCAAATACCAAGAACCGCAAACCAATTTATCAACGTATTATATAAAAAAAAAACGAATAAAATGCAATTTACAATTGGAAATTGAATTATGATCGAATGGGGCTAGACGCAGCAATGCGAATGCCGAGCCATAAACTCGAACTAAGTCAACTCTAAACTCTATTTTAATTTCGGCGAGCCATTCTATTTTTCATATGCGAAATAAAAAGTGCAACATTTCCTTTCCGCTTTGCCACCAAAAAATACCCCCTAGGACGGTCTTTGCTCGCACGAAACAAACAACTCGCTTCAGCACTTAACACTATCAACTAGCCTACAACTGACAACTGTTAACCGCTCAATCGCTCAATCACTCAATCAGTCAATCATTGTCACCCCAATCAAAATGCCGCGCTGCCTGATTGCCAAAAAATGGAAAGCATATCCCTGGCTGGATCGCTCAGAGGATACAGCCACAACGACGACGACGGCGGCGACCACGAGCTCCCGGGAGGAGCAGCTGTCGCCCAATCTCAAGTCACGTCGCTCCACGCTCGACGATGACGAGGAGATCGATGTTGTTGGCGACAAGCTCCTTACCAAGTCCGACAAGCAACGCACAATTATTGTCACAACAGCAGCAGCAACAGCCGCAGCAGCAACAAACGACAGCACAACAACAACATTAACAGCAACAACAACAGCAACAACAACGGCAGCAGCAACAACAACAACAACGACAAAGTGCTGGGGACCCAGCTCACCAACAGCGGGCACCACGGCGCCAAGTCCGCCGCCGCATTCGCCGGAGGCAGCGACGCGAGGAGCCACCAATGCCTACAATGGTGAGTAGAAAGCAAAGATGAAAGACACAGCACTCCGAAAAAGTTAAAAAAAAATAAATAAAATAAAAAAAAAACACTTAAATTTCTGTGTAAATATTCTGAAATTGGCGCCTAACTTAAGTTTAAAATACTTATTGCAAGAAATTTCATTGCTGAAAGCAGCTTAAAACATTCTTCCTCGAAACTTGTTAAATTTAGTACCGAGTTTGAGTCTTAATCTAAGTTTTTTTTTCATTTGAAGCTATATCCCAATTTTGGTCTAAAATAAAGTGATCTTATACTCAAGACTGTTCTTCTCATTTTAAGAATATTCTGTCTTGTTTTGAAAGATATTTCATATCTAAAACCATCGTATAACATTGTTCTCCTAAAGATTTTAGGCAAATTTGAGGTTTATTGTATGAATTCTTTTTCTCATTTTAGAATTTATATTTTCTTATTTTTAAACATATCCCACATTCGGCAGAAAGAATGATTTTTTATTCATTAGTTTTCTTCTCATTTGAGAAACTTTTGTGTTGATTTAAGTATAACGCTTTTAGTTTTTACTGTAAGTGAGACCTTACTGAATTATAAAAAATTTCTTATCAGGATTTGATGCATCCTCTAGCACAGCATATTTTACGGCGTCAAAGAAATATTTTCAACATTCCATTCCATATCTTTCTTCACATTTTAAGAAGTTGTAATCTTAATTTATGCACAAATTTCTTAGTTTCTTTACCTGAGTGAACGCGTTGCTATATTATAGCTGTACCCAAGTTTCCCAAGCATAATTTGTTTCATTCTTTTCTTTGTATAAATTTGAATACATTGAAAAATAATTTCAATATCCCAATTGAATAACTTTTTTAAAGCGAATATTTTCTTCTTATTTTAAAAAATTAAATCTTGTTTTTTTTTGCATGTGTTACTTAATTTCTTTCTCTGAATGAAAGAGGTTTTACGCTAGAAACTTAAGCCAAATTTTCTAGGCAAAATTTGTTGCATACTTTTCTGCATATACATTAATTATAGCATATTTATCAAGCGTAAAGAAGCCAACATTCAACAGCTATTTGTATGGATCTGAGAAGGTTAAGGAGGAGAGAAATAATTGACAGCTGCAATCTGCTTGACCCAACTCTAATCCCGAATACCCTTTATCCTCTTCTGGTTGCAGGCTACACGCGTGAGCTGTCGCCTCCGCACTACACCGCGTACCTGCCCCGGATGGAGAGCGAGATTACGGTTATACGAGCAGCGGCCACAGCGCTGGTGGCAGCAGCCGCCACAAACGCAGGCGGCGGAGAACAGCAGCAGCAGCATTTGGCCGCGTATCAGACGCCGCCCTCATCGACGACATCGTCGCCCTCGTGCTCGCCCAGCGGCGCCTTGCATGGCGATAGATATAGTCCCGGCATGGTCCACATCAAGACCGAGTCCGGACAGACGAGCAGCGAGCGCAAATGCTTTAGCAGCACGGGCGCGACGCTGTCGCTGCCGCCCAAAAAGAAAGACATCTACAGGCCGTACTCGCTGGACGACAAGCCGGCGCACGGCTATCGGAGGCGTGTACCCGCCGAGGAGGACCTGCATGCCGCGCACGCCATACTCGATCTGAGCGCCTCGACCGCATTCCACCCACCCACGCAGCCACACCAACTGCAGCAGCAGCAACAGCAACAGCAACAGCAGCATCTTGGCCACATGCACACAGCACATGGCCATATGGAGGCGCATGCGCATGTGCGGAGCACGTCATCGATTGCCGAACTGGCGGCTGCGGCCAGCGCAGTTAACGAACAACGCCCCTTAAGCAATGCCTCAAGCGCGAGCAGCAGCCACCTGCCGCCTAGTAGCCCGGCCAGCAGCCACAGCAGCAGCAGCCAAAGCAGCAGCAATGTGCAGAACGAGAACAGCAACACGACCAACACGAATCAGCTGCGTCCTGGTCTGGGTCTCTCTATGGAATGCGATGCGGATGGCGATGGCGATGTGGATGGCGGGCAGGCAGCCAAGACCGTGGCGTACACCTACGAGGCCTTCTTTGTGAGCGATGGCCGCTCAAAGCGCAAACATGTGGCCGATCCGGCCGCAATTGTGGTCCAGGATCAGCAAAAGACCAAGTACACGTGCTCCGAGTGTGGCAAGCAATATGCCACCTCCAGCAATCTGTCGCGCCACAAGCAGACGCATCGCTCCTTGGACTCGCAGTCGGCCAAGAAGTGTCACACTTGCGGCAAGGCTTACGTCTCGATGCCCGCCCTCGCGATGCACGTGCTGACGCACAAACTCTCGCACAGTTGCGGTGTTTGCGGCAAGTTATTCTCGCGCCCCTGGCTGCTGCAGGGTCACCTGCGCTCCCATACCGGGGAGAAGCCGTACGGGTGTGCGCACTGCGGCAAGGCCTTTGCAGATAGGTCCAATCTGCGGGCGCACATGCAAACGCACTCGGTGGACAAGAATTTTGAGTGCAAGCGCTGCCACAAGACGTTCGCGCTCAAGTCGTACCTAAATAAGCATCTGGAATCGGCCTGTCTTAAGGACGAGGAGGAGCTAATGATGGCCATGTCGCTGCATGGACATACCGATAGCAACAGCGAAAGCGGTGCCAGCTTGGCATCGCCGCCGCACGAGTTTCTCGATCGTGTGAAGGTGGAGGCGCCCGCAAATGGAATCGGAGGAGTCGGAGTGGGAGTTGGAGGCGTCAGCTATGCCATGTAAATGTTGAGTAAGTGTGGCCGAATGCCAAAAGCCCTAGTTAATTTAAAGTTAATGTTAAACAGAAAGTTATCGTTATCGATTACTGATCGATAGCCGTTATCGTTATCGAACCGCTAGCAGTTTTTATGAATGAAAAGAAAAGAAAAAAATACGATTACATACTTGACATCACAATACGTCCAAAAAGCAAGTGTAGTAGAGTAACACAGAGACTGTAGAAATTCGCATTAGACACCTTAGGCAGCAAATACCTTTAAAAAAAAAACTAATTAAAAAAAGTATTAAAATAAATATAAAAAAGCGAAAACAAACTAAATACACTTAGCGAAACCTAATCTCGTTCTTCTTTTAGTCTTAAGCGAGTTGAACATTCCTAGGCCCCAAAAAGAGAAAAACACAAGAACCTAACCCATACATATATACTATATATATATATATTTGACACACGCCACGAACACACACATTAAAGCCTTTTGCAGGAGGTGCGATCCGAATGCAATCCAAACCTGAACTTGAGCAATTCTTTCTATGCTATATCTATATCTATGTAACGAAATATATACACATTAATGATGTACTATAACCTGTAGCTCTATCAAAACTCTTAGTCTTTAGCTCTCCTCTCTCTTTAATCCAAAAACAAAAAAAAAAAAAAAAAAACTAAACGAAAACAAAACGAAGACGAAGTGATTAAAATTAATGCAACGAATACAAAAGCAAATGCAATGTTTCTCAAACAACGAATTAGGTCGTAAGGGCAGCCTATCTATAAGCAGTTTATAGTAGCGCCACGTTTTTCACAACATTTTTAAACTAAGTCACATAAGCGGGAAAAAAAACGATTAGTACTCGAAAAAAAAAACGAAATTTTTCAATTCGAAATCTAACCAAAATTTAATCAAAATGACAACGCAAAGCAATATCTAGAATATACTTATTATAGAAGATCATCAAAAGAACATTATTATTGGCACATTTAAATTGATTTGAATATCATTTCGCAGGCTAGAGGCTAGGAAAAGCGGCGCGGGGGGTAAGCTGAAACAGATTTGGGCATATTATTTGCATTAACAGCCAGGCTCAGTTTCATGTCCCGACATTATGAAGTTAGTCAATTAACATTCCAGGCAATTACAAGAAGAAGAAAAATCATAAATTTTATACATAAATAATATGCAAAGGATGTATTTAAAAAGAAATCTAGTCGCTGTATAACAGCAATTTTTTACTTAAAAAGAAAAAAGGAAAAGGAAAAAGGACCCCGGACCTCAGTTACATATGCCAGTAAATAGTTTTAGAACATTGCATTCTGTTGTGGCCCATTTGACGAGAATACAGTATTCGCGACCAAAATGATTTGAAGCCTTATATCAAGTCCGTATTCGAGCGCATTAATCGTGCCCCTCAAAACCAGAAAGTATATGTATATCGAGTGTGATCTAGTCTCAAGCATTTAACAGTACACTTCGTCCATGCGTAAAAAACCAAAAGAAAATAAAACAAGAAACTACTTTTGCACTTTTCAACACTTACCTAGTACGATATTACTTACGCCTACTTAAATTATGTAGCTCATACGTTCATTTATTCTCAATTACACCACACAACATAAGACAAGTACGCGGCACAAACATGTATATAGTATTTATTCCAAAAATCACTCAATTGAAATCAGCTTCAGCGACCGATCTCAATAAAAAAAAGGTGCAACGAACTTTGTGGCCATAGTCGTAGAGAACTTAGCCTAAAAAGTAGCAATGTTTAGATCAACCCAGTCGAAACTTGTTGATATGTCTAAGCGAGCGAGATGGAACCTACATATATATATATATATATATATATATATATATATATATATATAGATACATACAAACACTTAGAATACGTATGTAGCTGCGTAATATTTACAATTATATATATATACAGCATAAAATTATATATAAATATATATATATATATATATATTATTTAGACATAGTGTACATTTAATCCTAAGTTAACCTAGTAAGTATAATCACGACGAGAATTATTTTTATACTGTTAAAAGTAGAAGCAATACGAGTTTTGCGCTGCCTCCAAAATCGCTGAATCGAGCGAGCGAGCAGCGCAAATCTTTTAATCGAAAAGAAACGAATCGATATCGATATCGAAATCGGAATCGTTATTGGAATCGGCTAAAGTACCAAAGCAATACTCAAACAAAATGCGAAAAAAGGCAAAACACAAACGAATATTCAATTATAACTAAAAGACGAAAAGCTACTTATAGTCATAGTTACCGACGATTATTATTTTTTTTATGTAATTCGAATTGTTTGTGTTTCTGTAAAAGTTCGTTAAGGATTTACAAAGCGAAAGAAATATTTTGTTAAGGCCCGGCAATAATATTCAATTTTGTATAACAATGTAAACAAGTTAAATAGTAACAAAAATAAATAAAAAATACACAAAAAATGCATAATTAATTATGTGAATGAAAGCAATAACATAATGGTTAATCAATTTATTAGAATCTAAGTAAATATAAGGTTGAAACTATTTAAAATTGGTAAAGACAGCACACATATATTTAAAAACCAAAAGCTAACAAGAATGAATTATAATGTTTTTAATATACAATATACATATACATAAATACTTACACAATACAACACAAAAAAAAAAGAAAAAATTGTTTTTCATTCTTCAACAAAATTACGTTTTTTGATTTTCAAGACTTACAAAACCTAGAAAACTGGACTCTAAACCTTCCTTTTTTTTTAATTTTTACTCCAAGTGATTGAAGAACAGTTCTTTAATCAGGTTGGCATTATTTTTGTTAGATCATAAAACGGATATATAAATAAAACCAAGAAACGAAAGCAATTCTAATGTTGTGATATTTCCACACACACAAATAATAATAAATAATTATAAAGCTGACAGCTGACAAAGTATCATTAGTAATCATTAATTTTGCTCAAATGATAACAGAAAGAAAAAAAAATATTGAAATGAGCTCCAGGAAATTATAAACAACTTAACGTGTATCGACAAGCAATAAAAGGTAGTTGTAAATCTAAAAAAAAAAAACAAAAACTATAAAAAAATAGATATATATATATATATGTATATTAATTGAGATACTTTTGAGCGGAGATTAACCGCAAGCGAAGAATATTTTCAAATTTTGAAATTTTTAAAATAACCAAAAGACACGTAGAACATTAAATAAGCGCATATACATCTAGGAAAACACATATATATATAGTATATAAATTATATTTGGAAAAGCTTTAGTCCAGCAAATCGGCGGTTACATTTTTGTTTTCAAAAAGTGCCCGTTTTATGGTTTTCATTTCGGTTTGATAGGTTTCGTCATCCATGCACTCACATGTTATCGGTTCGTCCAACATTATAAGGATCATGGCATATTGTTAAAACCAAAAACAAAGAGAAATTGTTAATGTTTATACATTTTTAGCATAGCATATTAACATAGTTGTATATCGTCGGAGCCAGCGCAACTTTAAATACTTGCAATTGTTGAATTCAGTCTTTGCGTAGCATCAGGTTCATGATCCATTGTTTCCATTATCTGTTGCTGACCCCCGCACCCAAACCCCCTTCCCCCCTCATTGTTGCCCAGAACAATGTTGTCCTTTTTGTGTCAATGCGTTTTAACGAGCGCTCGTTAGGAGGAGACCCAAACAATGGGTAATGTAATAAAATAAGAATGTAAGAAAATCATCCCCAGCCCCAAAACCCTTCCCCAGCCTAACCCAGATTGGCAATATTCGAGTGCCGCACATTTAATTCCAAGTAATTTAATTTGCATTGGGTCTGTACATAGAATATTATTATTAGTGTTATTATATTTATGATTTATCATTTGTAGACCGCAAAAAACACGAATGAAAGAGAGAAAAAAAAGCGAACACGTAGTGAAAATTATGTATAAATAATGAGCATCAGCAATGATTAAACAATAAAAAGACTTGGCACGTTAACACAACAATTTTCAGAAATGAAAACAAAATTAAAAACGAAATCGAAAAAAACTAAGCTATTGAAAAGCATAAAATCTAAACATTAATTATAAATATGCTAACAAAATGAAGAACAACAACAACAACCAAAATAAAAGACTTAACACTTCGAATATATATTATGAAAAAAACAACTTATATTTACATCTATTGTATATGGTATGAGTACTCTCTAAACATAATTGATAAACAAACAACAACAACGAAAACTAACAGAAAAGCAATAGCAACAATGAATTAAACATAACAATGAGCAACGAGCAATGAGCAACAATGAGCAATGAGCATTGAGCAATAGAGCATTACGAGTTTAAGGTAACCAAAAAAGTATTATAGCGCATTGTAACTTTGAGTAAATATTTGGAATTCAATATTTATTTGTTGGCTGGCTCGAGGTCCGTGTTTGTTAAAACAAACAATGAAAAACAATTTTATTCAATTCTCTTCCGATATATTTCGGTTGCACATCGGCAAACCGTCTTCAGGGCACTAACACCAAGATACAAAAAACAATTAACAATTATAATACAATAAATTAAACATTATTTCGAACATTTTACATACATTATTTTACACGTCTGCGCTTTTTGACGTGGAGATTGTTACTGAGGTTGTTTGACTGTTTAAGAGGTGTCTGTACAAGTGAGCGCAATTTTCTGTGTCTGTCTTGTAGTTTAGTCGTTTGTAGGTTGGTGTGTTAATTATGTGTAGCATTTCCAATGTGTGTCGCTTGTTATAGTGTTGTTCTTGTTGTAAGATTGTTGTTTCATCAAAATTTGGTGTGTGGTTGCTTCTTATACAATGGGTCATAAGTGCTGTTTTCTGTATATTATTTTGATGTCTTAGTTTGAAGTCCGATTTATGTTGACTAATCCTTGTTTTTAGCTTCGATTTTGTTGTACCTATGTAGACACTATTGCACTTGTTGTTGTTATCCCCGCCACATGGTATTTGGTAAACGACGTTGCTTTTTTCGATCATCGGGATTTTCGACTTTATCTTGTTGAAGAATTTTTGTAATGTATTCGTCGGTTTGTGTGCTACTTTTATATCTTGTTTGTTATAACAGTCTGAGTTTGTGAGGCGTTCTGATAGTCGTGGTACATATATTAGTGATTTGTATATTTTAGCAGGTTCTGTTGGCTTTTTTCTTTCGATTTGTCGTCTTTTTAATAATGTTTTGATTATATTTGGGGGGAAGTCATTTTTGGTCAAAAGTTCTTTGATTTCATGTTCAATTTCTTTGTGGTATATTGTGTCCGATATTTTCATCATTCTATTCATACAGCCTAGTGCTGTATTGATTATCATACTCTTTGGGTGGTTTGAATTGAAGTTGAGTATTCGTCCGGAGGCTATGGGTTTCCTATACCACTTTATTTTGAGTGTGTTGTCCATTCTGCTTACAATAGAGTCTAAAAATGGTAATTTCCCGTCCTTTTCTAATTCCATTGTAAATTTTATCTGTTTGTGGAAGGAATTCAATTCTTTTAGAATATTTTCCACGTCTATTTTGTTCGTTATGGCAAAAAGGTCATCTACATATTTGGTCAAGAGTCTTGGTTTTATTTTTAATTTATCTGTAATCTTGTCCAACAGTTCCTCCATTAATATATCTGCGATTACTGGGGAAGCCGG